CAGGAAATCACGGAATCATGCAATGCCCTGGGCTGGAAGGGAGCCTCAAACACTGGGGAGGCCAAGCCCTGGTCCTGAACAGGACACCCCAACAATCCCACCCTGTGCCTGACAGCGCTGTCCAAACACCCTTGAGCTCTGGCACGGTCAGGGTTGTTGTGACCATTCCCTGGGGAGCCTGTTCGGTGCCTGAGCACTTTTGGGGAAAATACCCTTTTCTAATATCCATCCCAACCCCCCTGACACAGCTCCAGCCTTTCCCCAGGGTCCTGACACTGTCCCAGAGCAGGGCTCAGAGCTGTCCCAAGCTGCAGAGCCCTTGGCAGGGCACTCACCAAGCTGACTTGTGACTGCTGAGCCTTTCTGCAGAAAAGCTTTTCATCGTCCCCCTCTTGCTCAAAAGTGCCATTTTCCCCCCCAATGGAGCTGGAACCACCTGGTGCAGCCCCAGGACTCAGCTCCTGCCCCCACCACAGCCAGCAGCACTTTCCCCTTCACACAGAGGATCCTTCCCTTGCCCCAGGGACAGCAAAGCAGTTACAATCTGTAAACAAGCAGGGTGAAGAGAATAAATCCCCTTCTGCATAATTTTAAACTTTGCATGTAAACTGTACTTCAGTTTCCTTCAAATTCTGCCCTGCTCCCTTGGCCACAATCCAGGCTGCCACAATCCAGCCAAGGGGACACGAGGCAGTTCAGGATTTATTAGCACCGGCCACTGGATTTCCAGTTTTGCTCAAGTTACTTTGTTTACCACAAAAGCACTTTGCAAAGGCTTAGCAGAGTCTGCAAGCTGGGAGAGCCCTCCATGAAGGGCTCGCTATAAAAGGCCAAAATATGAAGAACATTTTCTCTCCAGTCACTTAACCCCGCTGGCTTTGAGGAGAAGAAGAAAGCAGAGATAATGGTGTCCCTTCCCTGGGAGTCACCAGGCTCATCCCCCATGGCAGCTGGGAGAGTGCAAGCTGTCAGCATGGAAGGAGGAGGACAGCTTCCTTCACAGGAGTCTTTTATTAAAACTGGGTGACGTCTACAAGGATACAGTACAAAAAAAAAAAATTTGGTCCATGGAAAAAACCGTAATACTCAGTTAAGAAAAGCAGTTACTCTGCAACAGCTACGTTTGCCTATGTAGGACTCAGCATCCCTCCTGTGGGAGTACCCTGAGGAGTCAGGGGCTGCTTCTCCAGCACCAAGACCTTCACCCCAGTACCACGGAGGAGCATTTCAAAGGGCAAAGGAGAGGGGAAGTCGAGAGTCTATTACTCACAGACATGTAGTAACACAGACACAAGGAGTAGTAGGGCCACCCAGGTGCTCCAACTCACAGCAGCCTCCCCAGCCACACGAACTGGGTGAGTGCTCATCAGTAACATGATCCTGCAGCTATTCCAAGAGTCAGACCAGCTTTGAGTCCATTTGCATTATAGTCCCGAGCACAAACACTGGATTGGAGTGAAGAGGAGCTATTTCATTTTCCTAAGCCTGACCACCAGCACCTCATTCCAAGAGGAGGCATCGGGGCTGCTACTCCTCACAGTGGAGAAAATCTATTTGTACATTCCTGAACCATGCTGGGCCCTATGGCAGCCCCACAGCCTAAAACTTGACTAAAAACCACAGGAGCTCCAGCATGGAAACACCTGCTAACTCACATATGCTTGGAAAAATGTCCATTTCCAAGGACTGTCCTGTCCTTAGACCCTTGGACCCACACGAAGGAGCCTCTGGTCCCCACAGCAAGTGACACAGGACAACTGTCCTGAAGGAATGAGCCTACAACACTGTCCCTGCAGAATTCCAGGCAGCTGCTCCATCTCCTCTCCCTGCTCCAGGGAACACAAGCAGCCACGTGGTTTGCTGGAAGCCACTGGTAGGTGTTTGAAGTGCAGAGCTCTGCATCACTCCAAGGCTTCCACATCCCTGCAGGAAGCCAAGGCCTTGTCTCCCTGTGATCCCAGCCCAGGACAGTCCATCAGGGAACACGCAGGGAATGGGGCAGGGAGGAGGGAGAAGGGAAGAAGCAATTCTCTATACAGTTCAGTAACTTCCTCGAGGAGGAGAGTGACCTATGAGGCAGCCCAGTGCAGCAGCACCCTCTGAGGAGGGGGTGAGGGCAGGGAGGTATGTCAGCTCATGGCATCCTGCCCACACAGCGCCTGGCACGGGCTGTAAAACGTGGCAGGGAAGAGCCCAGCCACACCTTAGAGCAGAGCCAGGCTTCAGAGCCAGCTCTGAGTGCCCAACCAGGTGCTGGCTGGGGAGGAATGGGCTGAGAGAAGGCTCTGAGTCACTCTGGCTACCGGGGACACTACGGGCAGTGCAGAGTCACAGGGACGCTCGTGGAAGCCTTGGGACTGACAAGGCAACAGTCAGGAAGAAAACCAGGTAGAAATGTGTGCTCATTGGAGCCTGTCTGCTTGCCCCAGGTGTCCTGGACTTGCCCCTGCAGGGACAATGCCAGGATGAATAGCGTGGGCCTCGCTGCCAGAGTGGGATTCGGTGAGCTGGAACAGAGAGCTCTGCAGCTCTGTCTCCACAAACAGCTGTGATGCTTCTGCCTGGGGAGGAGCAGAGCAGCCTATGTGTTCCGGATGCCCAGGGCCTGCTCCAGTTCCTGCCGTCTCTGCTGCACCTGCAAGAGGGGCAGAATTGCAGCATTAACACCCTCGGGTGGTGCAGCACCAAGTTAACACACAGCAGCAGCTGGGAAAGGGTGAGCTCAAACAGGGACCAAGGTGCAACCACCACCTTCCCCCAGCACTGTGTGCCCCACGGAGTGCCAGCACAGAGAGGGACCCCAGCCCGGGGACGCCCACCTTGGAGTAGAAGTATCGGCACACGGCTTCCTGCGCCCACGGCTGGAAGTAGAACTCGGCTCTGCGCTCCTCCTCGGGATTCCCAACGACATCAGTCATTGTCTGGCAGCACAAAGGCACAACAGCTCAGTGAGTGCAAAAGCTCTGGCTGTGCTGAGCAAACCCACCCCCTTCCCTTTCCTCACACACATCTCAGTGCACTCAGGTCAGCTTCTTACGCTTGACTCAAATCCCAGCCTCGCTTTCCGAGGAGGAAATTGCCTCCTCCTCTCTGTGGGAGCTCATTCTAATGAGGGAAGCGTGAGAACTGGACCACCTTCCACACAAGACAAAGCTTCTACCTTCAAATCCCGGCACTGGGACTGGAGCCAGTCGTTGATGAAGCCCTGAGGATCTCGGGCAAAGCTCAGCATGAACTCGCGCTGTGTCTTCAGCTGGTTGATGGTCTCAATTGTTTCATGGATCTGAGGGAGACAAACACAGAATGGAACTGCTGAGCAGGGGAGAAGTCAGAAACATCAAGGCATCCAACACATGAAGGCAAATTCTTACACTCTCTAGTTAACTTATACTTACCAGGATGTTCAGCTCCCAGTTTCCTGCTCTCTAAATATTACCAATTTTCCCATAGACTGGTTGCTTTAAAAATTACATTTCCAGGTACAGCCACATTTGTAAACATGGTCATCCCACTGCAGCTTCCAAACAACAGAGCACTCCTATCCTGTGTCCAGAGACACATCCCTGCCCAGCAACAAGGAGGGCAGACCTGAAGGAGCTTTTCCTACCTTGTTATCCAGAGCAGCAATTTCCTGTTGACTGGCTGTGGAGAGCAGAAAGGAATTCATCTGAGTTTTCAGGGTATCATCCACCTCCACGTCAATGTCATAGCAGGCTGTTTTCTTCTGGTCATTTGGGTCAACACTGGGGACATCCACAAGAAGCCACAATCAGCTCCAGAAAGAAGGCAAAGTCTGGGGCCAGTTCAAGGAAGCAGCAAGTGCAGCTCCTCTGGGATGCTGCAGCAAACAGACTGCAGGCAGGCACAGGCACAAGGCATGCCACTGTCAGCCTCAGCCCCAAAAGCAGCTAAAGCCCACGGATGGCTTTGCAGCAAAAGAAAAGAATGATTGCTCCATGAAGGTTTCTATGCACAGCAAAGGACAGCAGGGATGTGGGAGTGCCTTTGGAAGAGGGAGGTGGTAATGAGAGAGGCGGCTGCTCTTGTACAAAGGAACAGTGACAGGCAACATGGGAACTGCTGCTGAAAATCAGGACACGGCACATTGTCTTCCCAGCCAGCCTCATCCATCCCTCCCTCCCACTCCTTCCACTCCTCCCTGGAAACAGGAACAGCCGTGGAGCAGCCTCACCTGATCACATGATTGATGATGATGGGCTCGGGGGGCATCAGCAAGGCATGAAGCCTTTGTGGGATCTCCGAGAACTTCATCCGCTGCGACTCAAAGATCTGTGACAGAGACAGGGCTGGGGGAGGAGCAGGGGCTCGCTGCAGCCACCCCTGTGGGGGCTGCCCACGCTGGGAACTGCTCCAGCTGCTGCTGCTCCAGCCCTGCCACTGCTCACCTGCTGCAGGTACTTGTCACAGATGACAAACTCCCGCTCGTGGGGGTCCTGCAGCTTGTGGGTCTTGATGTACTGCCACAGGGCCTGGATGATCACGGGCCGGGTCTGCGTGTGGATGCCCAGCAGCCGAGCCAGGCGCGGGTCCAGCTTGAACTGGGGAGGCTGAACAAGGAGCACCGAG